ATTTCGATATAATTTTCGGCACCAGCTCCGGTACGCAGTGCACCCATCATTCTTTGTCTCCAGCTGACATACTACCCTAGGAGCCATCAGTGTTTGTGGCATGTGTATTAACGGCTGGCCAGTGGAAGATTGCATTGCTTCATCCGAAGCTCTTGCAAGGCTCGTTTTCCGCCCTCGTCAAGTGTCTCAGCTGCCCCTGGCATGGATTCCTCCCGTTCATGCAATGTGGCAGCTCCTGCTATCGGTCGCGCTTGATAGTAGATACCCTGCGAAGGGTCTGGAGAAGACTTTACAGAAGCTATTTGGCTCTAAGCGAAGCATAATGGATCACTCCATGGCAACAGAAATGGGACAGTTCATCGGCATGCCTGTTACGTCGACCGTTGATGCAAGCACATACATCATCACCAACTATAATGGTGTCGGAAGGCGCAAGGACAAAGCCGGTTAGCAGTCTCCGTAATTTAGTATACGACAGACTCACGCTGACGAATCCAAGACTACCATGCGCTGCAACCGAAATGCGGAATCAACCGCGTACCGTTGTGGCAGTTGTAAGTAGTTATTTGTAACTCCCGCTACCCCCTACGAATGGTGCTGATTGTGTTCTTCAGCTTGCGAGGATGTACTGCTGCCCCGCTGTAGGTGTCGCCAACTTCTATCGCACAAAAAGAAACTGACAGGGTCAAGCTACTTTACACCTCAATATATACAGGGCATTGGCTATCAAGATGGAGGACTGACCTACAATAATCCGGCGGCTATTGCCATTGATGAAGCAGCTGCCCTGTTCCCTAGTATGCCAAAGCCTAGTATTGTCCTTTCGCTTGGGACTGGTTTCGCAAAACAGTCACCCACCCGGCCCTCCAAAATTCGCCGCGTCGTTGGCGACCCTTTTGTGGCAAGATTGCTACGAGCCTTCATGAAGCAGGGAGACTCCGACCGAGCTTGGAGACAAATGTTGAGTCACCGGTCAATTGGAGAGTCTGGAGAGCTCTTCCGTTTCGACATAGAATACAGCGACAACGGCCCTAGCCTAGATAACATCAAAGACATTGAGTACTTGGGGGCAACGGCTAAGAAGTCAATTAGAAACTCGCCCGAGCTGATCAGGCTTGCTCATTGTATTCGTGCCGAGCTATTTTACTTCGAGTTGGAGGGCAAACCGAGACTAGTCAATGGCGTATACGAATGCGTCGGTACTCTTCTCTGTCGACTCGCGCCCGGAACTGAGGGTTTCAGAGCCCTGATGGATCGTCTTGATGGCCTTCTGGCAACACTGCAAATCGGCACTAGAGCTGTCACCGCCGGCTTCCGAAATTGGACGTCCTACGCGGATGGTTTTCGCAAACACATTAGCTTTCATGTGTCGGCACGGCTGACCCCGTTTAGTATCACCTTGTGCGAGGGGCCGGCCGGTGAATGCCACATCAGTGGTTCACCGTTTACTCTTGATGGCCTGGTCAAGGCACAGCGTCTTGATGCGGGCTTTGGCACTGCCGACCATAGGGATGTTCAAGCCATGCATCGCATACCGGGCAATGAGCGGGTTCCTAGCAGCGTAAAAAGGACATGCTCTGGAGATCCCAGCGAAAGGAATAAGCGTCGTAGATTGTGATTACAGTACAGCTCGGGATATTCGTGTATTTTGTCAAGATTTACCAGATTCTCTACGAGCGAATCAATACATTGATTTACCTGTGAGATCTGCCGCAAAAATGCAAGCCTGGACTCCCGTGTCTCCAGACCCTGTGACGGGCATTTCTACGCCGCAGCCACCATGCACATTCGCAGATTCCCGCTGACTATAACGCAGCGCGAGATGGTAGGGCTGTATTATTATCTCCCACTTATGTCAGCTCCTTTGAGTCCCTAAGCCTGCGAAGGAAGCCATCAATTATACCTAAACGCTTCTTTACATGTCATTCAGGGATCGTCACGTAAACTCGTACTTGAATTCCGGCATGGTATTGTAGAAGGGAGGCTTACGTTCAGTGCCGAACACTTGACGAATGCGCGACCTATCCCCCGCCGCTTCCAGGCACCCAGTGTGTATATTTCATCGTGAGGCTCTGTCACGTCTCCTGAGGCTTGTGAAACGTACATAGATACCCCGCTGCGCAAATCTATTCCAGCACATCATATATGGTAATACGAGCGAGTAGCAAGAGTGCCGCATCAAGCTTTTCTACATGAGAATGCTGTCTTGAATAATTATATACTCCGTCATGGCTGACCTTCGCTCGCCCTTTACTGGTAGGCTCGAAGTCTGCAAACTATGATCTAACAGCATCTTTACCACGGCAGGTAGGTTCGTCGATGGCGGCACTGCGGAGCTGTGGGAATACTGTACAGCACCTTACGGAAAGTAAAGAGACTAAGCTGTGACACAATCGGATCCCGCGTCAGGATCCCGCGTCAGAATACCTTACAGCAGCGCAAGACGGAAGCACGTGCAAAAAGTCGACCAGAGACGCAGCCATAACTACTGTACTGTCCGTAGTGGGTGGGCCATCATATTGTCATGAATGCCATATATGGCGCTTTACGCCGTCAAGATTCTAGAGTCCGTTTCTTCCGCCAGCATTGCAAAATCGACAGGATCAAGCTCTTCTTTAAAAGGTGTCGACATTAGAGGACCAGACAAGACCTCGCAAACCTTGACTGTTATGGAAAACCAAATTAGGCTGCTAGCTGTTGAAGTATTTTCTAACAGATCTCTGGAGGTGCTAATACAAGCATTTCGAGTCATACAGTCGCGGTACCCAAAGTATTGGGGAATTGAAAATGTGCCGGAGAATGCAGCTGCAACAATTCCCAGGAACTTAGGTGACCCACTGGCCCCGGTCTCAGAGGCGTGGGTGGACTTCATCCAAAATCATGACCTGTCTTCTGCCGACCTTTCCAGCGAACAATCGGCTACAGGCACTGAAATAAGCGATGAGACTGTGTCGAGATACCTCGCTCTGCTGCGTGCCAAGTTTGGTGAAGCTATAGAACCTGTCCGCCGTTTGACATCGGAACCAGTTCCACTTTCTGGAGGTCAGCTTGATCACCCCACCTTCACACCTTTCCTGGAAGAGAGCGGCTGCTGGTCCTTTGCTGCGGCCTACATTGATTGCATACACTGGTTTGGTGGGGTGGGAAACGATTCAGGAGCATCGCAGCTCATCGACACCCTGTCCAGACCAGTGAGGATGGCTCCAAGACTCTTGCAAGCTTCAGAATCGGGACTAGCCATGTTGCTGCAAATGCGATGTCTGTTGCGCGGATGCCCCAGTCCAGACCAGGAAACGTTTGACGCTACCAAGTCAAACTTCCGCATACGACTACTCGTTGAAATTTTCTGTGATGAGTTAGATCCCACCGACAATGACCTATGGATCGCCAGGGATCGAAGGGCCGCTCTAAGCACAAGTCAATTTGAGGAAAGCATGCACGATATAAATCTAGCAGCTGCAGCTGCGGTTGAGAATCGGATAGCCGGCGACATGAGCGATGAACTGATGCGGAATTACCACAGCCCATTCGTGAATGCAGGCGGGGGAGGTCTTGATCATCTGCAGACCCCCCCTTTGTCACAAGTAGACAGCATACAGGACTCGGTTTCAAGTACAGATCATGCAGAAACCGACAGCAACGCAAGTACTCCGTCCCAGTCCTCCCCCAGTACGCAAAGCCAGCCACCTGAGCTCCAGGAGCGAAGCAACGCAGCCAGCACTGATCGAAGAGATATACTTGGCATCTTGAACGAAGCAACCAGGTTCAGTCGGGTAAACACCGTGTCTAGCGCAAGTTCGCTGGCTCTCTTATGGTCGCTGGTTTCAAAAAGCAAGATCACAAGTGCCCTTCACTATAGATACTGCTGCGTCTTGTACTACCAAAAGATAACAACTCTGGAAGACGACAAGGCGGTTCGAGCAGCAATCAGGGTACATTTGGGAACGCAGCACAAGATTTCAAGAAAACAAATGGAAAATATGAGAGAGAGGCAGAAAGAAGGACAGTTTTGGAACGAGCTTTGCAACTTGCGGCAGGATTGGGGCCTGCGCAGGTTTGTCCTACTATGCGCGGTCCCTGCGCGAGTCAAGCTGCGTGTCAACGATGCCGAACGACAGCAAATGCTTCGCTACATAAGCGAACAACTCCACCACGGGTCTCAGCTACACACAGACCTGGAGAGCGCAGCCGGCCTTTGCGAAAAGCTGCTCCAAAATTCACTGCCCGAAGAGCGTCTGATGATTGAGAATTACGCCTCCAAGTATTTCCCAGACGGCATGCAGATAGGTGATTACCAAGCTTTTGTAAGCCTTGATCCACATGCGAGACGGCCATTACTGCAGAGGTAGAGCGTGCCGTGGACTGTTTGGACTATCTCAGCGAGGGACCGACGGTTTGACCCAGAGGTTTCTAGTTACAACCAGGCTTAGTGCCTACTGTAGTTCTCTCACACCATGGGAAGAATATAACTTCCCTACTATAATGTTTCCAACGCTCGTCATTACTGTACTGTAAAGTAAACGTAGTTTAGCAAGCAGAGCTTGAGTGAGCGTAGCAAGACAATGAGGGGTGATCTCGTAACCCCGCCGGAGTATTTTACTGCTTCGGTAATCCAATCAATCCTGCTGGTAGCGTTCCAAGCATGTAGGTGTCTGTGAGAATCTACATAGCAGCCTCCAGTGGGGACGGAGGTGCTTAGCGGACTCTAAGACGGTAGTCAAGTTTCTTCTCCTATACGTCTATACTTCTGATCCACCCATTGCGGCACAACGCAATGTGGCCGCGCAGGAATGTACTGTACTCCAGAAAGAAGCAGAATATAGACTGGATTCTACAAAATGGCACGAGCGCGCTAGATATCCAGTGTATCGATCTTTAACACTGCGAAACCACTGCGAATAATGGAGTTCAGAGGTTCCGCGACAATCCAGCTAGCGCTCTTCTTTTTCTCAAGAACTGAGGCAGGCCCTGAATTTGCTGGTAGAGACGCCGGAATTAGCATGACCGCGCTACGAAACGCTCTTGCTACTCTCAAAGTGTACGACAAAGCCTTGGAGCAGTTGATGGACAAATTTCAGAGCGGAGCCGCACTTGCAGTTGCGGACAACGTCCAGTGCTCTGGGACGTTCGAGCACATTTTTGAGCTTGCCCAACTTGAAGAAGACAGCCGGCAATCTCTCAGGAAGCTTCAAGACGAGGTCAATAAGTTGAAGGCCGAGCGGAAAACTCTTAGTGGTCAGATACAGGAAGAGGGAAAGAAACTCAGAACAGTCATCGAGAAAGTGGCGCATCATCAACAGTACTTGGACGCGGCCTGTCTCGACAGAGTGGTACCCCAAGAGCAGTACGACAGGACAGAAGAGCTGTTCGAGTAGATTATGGTCTCATA